CCTGAGCAAGAGCAAGATCCCGTTTTTACTAAAAAGAGAAAAATTAGCCACGTGTGGTGATGTGTACCTGTAGTCCCAGCCACTCGGGAGGCTGAGGCAGGAGGATGGCTTGAGCCCAGGAGTTTGAGGTTGCTGTGAGCTATGGTGATGCCACTGCACTCTACCCAGAGTGACAGAGTGAGACCCTGTCTCAAAAAAAGGAAAAAGAATTATCATTAGTGTTTCCCTTTCGTCTCTCCCAGCAGAGCCATCCTGGCTGTATCCCGACCAGGCCACTGAAACTGCTCCCGCTACTCTTATCTGTAGCTCTGCAGTTGTCTTGGTCCCTCAGGGCAGGACCCTGGCCAGCCTCTGCCCGCTGCCCTTTCCCTGGCTGCCCCTCGGGACTCACTCCCTGCAGATCTGTTCTCATGTGTCTTCTGCCTTCACAGGAACCACATGAAGCCAGACACATTCCCCAAAGCGACGTGCCACATGACAACACTGTGATTCTGAGGGGTGGGGGATGAGGGAGGAAGGCCAGAGACAGGTACCCCAGGGCAGGGTCCCCAGGTGTCCCAGGGAGGGTGTATCAAAAGCCAGGGACACAGGTGGGGGGAGGGCACCAGGACTTGCAGTGACAGCAATGAGAGATGGAGGCGGACGACGGGAGGCCTGCTTCAGGCCAGGAATTTGAGACCAGCCTGGGCAACACAGCAAGACCCATCTCTACAAAAAAATTAAAAATTAGCCAGGCATGGTGGCACACTCTGTGGTCCTAATGACTTGGGAGACTGAGGCAAGAGGATCCCTTGAGACCAAAAGTTGGAGGCTGCAGTGAGCTATGATGACACCACTGCACTCCAGCCCAGGTGACAGAGCAAGATCCTGTCTCCAAAAACAAAGAAAGAAAAAGAAGAAGGAAATCAGAGACACCTCATATAAAGGAAGGGGCGTTCCACTGACTGACGGGAAGACTGGGGGAGGGGCAGGTTCCTGGCCGTGAGAGCTGAGGCAAAACCAAGACCCCTGAGTGGAGATGCCCCCCAAACATCAAGGGCATCTGCAGGGGCCTCAGGCAGACAGTTGCATTGCAGACGGATGACTGATGGTCAAGAAGCCAGGCTGGAGAACAGTTTTGAACCATCATTTTAAAGGTGTCTTAAATAGCGCTAAGAAGGGGACAGGTGCAGAGGCTCACTCCTGTAATCCCGACACTTTGGGAGGATAGCTTGAGACCAGGACTTCGAGACCAGCCTGAGCAGCATAGCCAGACCCCATCTCTACAAAAGATAAAAGCAAAATTAGCTGGGTGTTGTGGTGTGGGCCTGTAGTCCCAGCTCTTTTTAAAATGTTATTATGAAAATTTTAAAACTTATACAAAGTAGAGAGAATAGGATAATTAATCTTTATGCAACCAACATACAGTGTTATCAATATTTCGATTTAAAAGTCACTTTAGGGTTGGGTTCGGTGGCTGATGCCTGTAATCCCAGCACTTTGGGAGGCCAGTTGGGACCAGGAGTTCAGATTATAGTGAGCTATGACCTCATGGCTGCACTCCAGCATGGGTGACAGAGGCTGTCTCTAAAAAAATAAATTAAAAAGAATAAAAATCACTTTAGAATTATTTTTTATATATAGTAGACAGAAATGACAGATTATTTTTCAAACATTTCCTTATAAAATCAGGGTGCATGTATGGGCCAGTGCTTATTAGACACGGGCAGGCTCCTTCTCAGTCTTCTGTAAGGAAGGCCTTTCAGCAGGTAACCCGGCTGCAGCATACAGTGGAAATCTCCTTTCCTCTTTTTCAACTTTTCTGTTCCTCAGTTCGCTCATCTAAAAAATGCAAGTAACTACAGAACCTGCCCTACTCCGTTATCACAAAAAAAAGAATCCAAGTTCTTAGATGAAGGCCAAGGACACTTAAGTACTTACAGGAGAAGACCTCCCCCACCCTCCCTTGCCCCCACCCCTCCCACTTCCAGGTGGAGCCGCCTTGCTGGCTGCCGTCCTCACAGCCTCCAGGTTCCAGTTCGTGGCTGCTCGCACAGACAGACGGTGGCTGCAGAGAACCCCAGCTCCAGGTATGTGGGAGGTGGGACCGTGGGGGTGCGGGAGGCCGGAGCTTAGCGAGACCTGGGGCCTCCTGTGCTCCTCAACAGGGAACCCAAACTTGGCATCAGGCTATTCAAAAACATATGCCGTTTATTTATTATGGTTCCTGCTTTTTCTAGTAGTCTTGTCCTAAGTCACCTCCATGCTTGCTAAAAATATGTAAAGCCAGACCCCGCCCTGTCCTAAGGAGTCAGAAAAGGAGGTGACCAGTAGCCTTGTTTGGTATCACATTGCAGAATGTGGCAACGAGGGGCACAGCTTGGTGCAGAGGTGGGCAGAGGGGAAGGACGGGAGCCCCGATAGGGGTTCTGACGTCCCTGGTCCTCAAGCCCTTCACAGGTTTGATCTTCCTTAGTGAGCGTGCTCAGGGGAGCTGACCCAAAGCCAGATAGTTTCTAAGGGAGCGCCAGGAGCTCAACTCAACGTGTGTAGGGACTGTCCATGAGGTCCCAGGCCTTGGGCACGCTGCTTAGGGACCCAGCTGTAAGAAAGGAAGATACGGTCCTGCCACTTTGGTAGTTAGTGAGGAAGACAGCCATGGACCTCAAAGATAACTACATTTTACAAAGGAGAGGTCAGCCTGGTGGCTGATGCCTGTGATCCCAGCACCCTGGGAGGCCAAGGCGGGGGAGGATCGCTTGAGGTCAGGAGTTCGAGACCAGCCTGAAGAGACCCTGTCTCTACTAAAAATAGAAAAATTAGCCAGGCATGGTGGCGCAGGACTGTAGTCCCAGCTACTGGGGAGGCTGAGCCAGGAGGATCGCTTGAGCCCAGGAGTCTGAGGTTGCTGTGAGCTGGGCTGAGGCCACCACACTCTAGCCCAGGGTGACAGAGGGAGACTGTCTCAAAAACAAAACAAAACAAGCAAACAAACAAACAATAAAAAGGAGAAGTGTCTGAAACTGAACCTTGAAATTGGATGATGAGGGCACAGGGAGTGTGAGATCTGATAGAAGAGGAGACGGCTAAGGAAGGAAACTGGTGGCAGTACCAGGCTTTGCAGAGGCTTCAGGTCAGTGGCATGGAGACCCACTGGGGCCAAAGGAATACACATGCACTGTGCCCCATAAATGTTTGCTTTTCTTGTATTTTGTGTGTTTGTTTTAGAGACAGGGTCTCACTCTGTCCCCCAGGCTGTAGTGTAGTGGCCTCATCATAACTCCCTACAACCTAGAACTTCTGGGCTTGCACGATCCTCCTGTCTCAGCCTCCACAGTAGCTGGAACTACCGGCGCACCACCACGCTGGGCTAATTTAATTTTTTTGTAGAGACAAGGTCTTGCCACGTTGCTCAGATTGTTTCCGCTTTTTTAAAGTTCAAACTAGAGCTGAAGAGAACATCTTTGTGCATATTTTTAAATATTTGCTCAAGTTATATGTGTTTTTATAGGATTAGTATTATGGAATTACAAGGGCAAATCAAAGACTTTTAAATTTTTAATGGCTATTTCAATATTGCTTTCTTTAAAAAAGGGTATCTACTTCACGTCTACCTCCCTAACACCCAAAACAAGGTATTGTGTATTTTTTTCAATCTTGCTAATAGGCATAAAAGAGGAAACTAATTTTTCAGTTTGTAATTCTTATATCATTAACAATGTCTGTGCCTTCCCATAACTGTTTCTTCTATGCCCCTTTATCTTCACTGGCAGTATGTTCAGTTTTTGTCTGTTTATTTTACTTTCCTATCTTGTAGGTATTCTTCGTTTAGAGATAAGGACATTTTAGTAGTATATGGTGAAAATAATCTTCTGAGTTATTTATTTATTTACTTTTTATTATGTTTATTTTTTGGTGTGGCCGGGATAAGAGAATTTTGGACACCAAGGAGGGGGGAGACTGAATTTATTTATTTTTGAGAAGGGTCTCTCTCTGTTGCCCAGGCTGAAATGTAGTAGCACAATCATAGCTCTCTGCAGCCTCAAACTTCTGAGCTCAAGCAAACCTTCTGCCTCAGCCTCCAGAGAAGTTAGGACTACAGGCACGAACCACCACATCCAGCTAATTTTGAAAATATTCTGTAAAGACAAGGTTTGGCCATGTTGCCCAGGCTGCTCTCAAACTCCTGGCCTCAAGCAATCCTCCCACTTTGGCCTCCCAAAGTGCTGAGATTATAGCCATGAGCCACCGCGCCCAGTCCCGAGTTTTATTTATAGTCAATTCGTATGTTCTAAATGTTATCTCCTGAGTTTCTTTTCACAAATAGGTAGGTCTTCTATGGCATATTCAGCTATGTAGAGAAGCAAGGCTGAAAAAAGCAAACCAAATTTGGAAAATGTGAATTCTGAGCCATCGGAAATTGGCCAGGCATGTTGGCTCAGGCCCGTGATCCAAACACTCTGGGAGGCCGAGGTGGGAGGATTGCTTGAGGTCAGGAGTTTGAGACCAGCCTGAGCAAGAGCGAGACTGTGTCTCCACTAAAAATAGAAAAAACTAGCCAGGTGCAGTGGCGTGAGCCTGTAGTCCCAGCTACCCGGGAGGCTGAGGCAGGAGGATCGCCTGAGCCCAGGAGTTTGAGGTTGCTGTGAGCGAGGCTGACGCCACGGCACTCTAGCCCGGGCAACGGAGCGAGACTCTGTCTCAAAAAACAAAAAAAAGAAAACACATAGCTTATTTTAAGGCCCCAAACTGACGAGGGCTTTCCTTAAGTTCTTCTACATTCTTCCCCAAAACCAAAGTTTAAAGGGAGGTTATTATCCTCATTTACCTGGTTCCAAGAATGTAGGATGTGAAGTAAATTTCTCCAAGTTACAGAGACAGCGACCAGGGCTGCACCGTGGCTTGGGCGCGGATGTGGCTCCCAGCCTCTGCCATTCCCGGCCGGCCGGGGTGACCGGCAGGCGGGTGGACGCGGGTCCTGGTGCCGGCGGGAGTGCAGCGGTAGAGAAAGGCCCGGAATGATGGGAACGGAGACCGGGAAAGCGGAGGACGACCTGTGCTCAACCAAGATTCGGCAGAGGTAGGACCTCCTGAAATAGACTCGGGATTTCGCTGTTTGGTTTGGTTTTCCAAAGCAAAGCAGCATCTTCTCGCCCGCAGCCACTGCTGACCGGAGGCGACGCTGTCTTCCCGGCCGAGCGGCCGCTGAGCCGGCTCGTCGTCGTCGTCGTCGTCGCCGCGCAGCCGGCGAAGAGCGGGAGCCCCGCGAGCTGCGGCCGGCCCGGCCGTGCGACTCCCCGGCAGCCGGAATTCGAGGCCCGGAGGACTCCGGACTCCAAGAGCTGCCGCCACCGGGAGGAACCAGTGGGACTACGGTGACATCGTCCCTGTCGCCAGGAAGGGCGGCGAGATCTGCGGGCGTTTCTGCTTCTCACGGGGCCCCGAGAGCCGGCGCCCGCGGAAAGCCCGCCTCAGCCC